GCTAAGATCTTGAAATTCACCAAATGAATGGTCTAGATTCGTTTTTAGAAGGGACTCATTTTAACCATATCTAGGGTTCAAATTGAACTTTTTTTTTTTCGGTTTGATAATTGAGATGAAGAGAGTGTGTGTGGCAAATTTTAGGTTATTCAAATAACACAAACATGGTTTTCTAGAAATTATAGTATGATGCAACCATTGCATGAAATCATTGCTCATATATATATATATATATATATATATGGCAGTGATTTCAACGATTGTATTGTACTATGATGCAACAACTTTCAAAAATTATGTTTGGGCCATTTTTTTTTTATCCAAAATTTAAAATATACACTCTTTTTATTCTAATGAACAATCACAAAAAATAAAAATTTGAAAACGCACCCTAGAAAGTATTTTTTTAGCCCAATTAACATAGGCTATCCATTTTGATAAGATGCTTAGATCTAGCCTTTAAAAAGATTTTTTCTTTTCCAATTTTTTTAGATGACTTTATTATCATTAGATGAACAATGTTATAATAAAAAAATGATTTTGAGAATGGAAAGGCTAAGATCTAGAAATTCACCAAATGAATGGTTTAGATTCATTATTGGAAGGGACTCATTTTGATCTAGGGTTCAAATTACGCTTTTTTTTTTTTGGAATTGATTATTGAGATGAAGAATGTGTGTGTAAAATTTTGGGTCATAGAAATACCAAAAACGTGGTTTTCTAGAAATGTGGTTGCATTATACTATGATACAACCGTTGCATGAAATCACTGCCCATATATATATATATATATATATACATATATCAGGGGATATGTGATCCCTGAGTAATGTATCAAAGTTTAATTTTAAAATTTATTTGTTGGGTCTCTCTCTCTCACACACACACGCACAGAGAGTAATAGTTACCATAGAGAGGCCACATCCTTCATGTCCAGTTGCAAGCATCACCTTTGGTAGGCCAGGAACAGGGCCAATGATGGGCTTTCCATCATGCACTGGTATGTGAGAAACAATGTAATCATATGGTATCAGTTCTTTTTTATTCCAAAAGTATAGAACAGCAATAATAGTAACCAATGACACTATAAGATGTTTGAGAATGGGCAAAGTTCAACAATCTCAGTAGATATAATGTAGAACGTACTATAAGGGCGCAACCCAACTCTAATTTTACCACTCCTCATGAATTCCAGCAAAGGAAGTCTTCGTAAAGCTGGAAAGAACTCTCCAGCACGTTCAATGATACATTTTACAATAGAGTCTTCAACCTGAGTATCAAACCCAGTGAATTGGCGGCTGCTCCCTGAAAATATATATAGACGAATCTCACCCATATGACGACATTCAACAAATATAAATTGCACTTTGATTTTTGTTCTTGTAACCAGAAAAAATAGGGAAGATATAGGTAACGATGTCAGTACTGCATGCAAGTCCTCATGATGAGATTTATAAGAAAGGAAACTTATCTCAGACCTACAATGTTCTATACTATATGGATCCATCATTTTTCATGAAACCGCGGGTTCATGAAACTCGTCTCAGGATGCACTCAATATAGTTGCTAGAGCCCAGAAGTGTGAGAGGGTGTCAGCTTTCATGAAACTGTGGGTTCAGCATGCTTAAGATTTAGGAAGAGTATAGGAAATAGAAATATTATGCACAGCTGATATACCCACATACACATCATCCCATGCTTACCCCAAGAAAGAGAGCACTGTCTTATAAGAAATAAAAACGCCTTCCCAGACAACAATTAAAGATAAGCTAGTTGAAGCCTTGAAGGTCTGCTACTCACAATGGGAATAAATACATTTATAGATATGGACATCCATACTCATAAGCACACCTTCTGAACCATAATTTATCTTTCAAGGCCTTTTCTAAACTTCAGCTATTACCAAAAAAACATAAAAAGAAAGAAAGAAACCACATTTTATCTTTTCAAGGCCTTTTTCAACTTCAGTTATTACCAAAAAAAAAAGATGAAAAGAATAGAAAAGAAAAAAATAGAAAAAATTAACTTAGCAGTCCACAGATTTCTTAATACCAAATGTAATCCTGATTATTATATGCATTGACTAGAATCTTACTTGACTTAAAAGGAATACGAAGATTGTATAACTCAAAAATTACCATAAAAGAATATAACAATACTTTGAAATTGATATGGCATCATGATTTTCCTATGCATTGATCAGAGTGACCTTCTAAAAAATCAAATGACATATATCACAATTTTCGGTCAAATATCACAGAAATAAATGCCTCTGGAGTTAGAACCCTCACCCAAAACTAGGTTTCCCCACATATCAGTTGTTGCTGTCATCGAGATTGAAAGAATGTGTGAATCGTCTTCAGCAACTATAGAAGTAGAAGAGTCGGAGATTGAAGGACCATTCTGATGAGTAACATAATCAACTTCCATTACACCATGGCGCAATTGTAAATTTCGAAGGTTCTCCAAGATAAGCAAATGACCCTAGGATAAGAAAAGCAAATTAGCAATTAAATAAAAAAAACACACACACACACACATATTATGTTAATGTGGGACCTGGTGTGGTAAGTGCTTTGCTAGCTGAACGTGTTGGACGTTGAGGATTGTCCACCGCATACACGTCAAAACCTTGGACAAGATTTCTCAGTTCGCGAGACAACCCTTTGTTCTTACTTTTTCCTATTTTGATAAGAGCATACACCAAAGGTAAATAAGAAAGACAAGTTGTAGTTTCCTCGAGGGAAACTAAACCTCCAGAAAGTGCAAAAGATTTTACTTACTACCCTTTTTTAACCCAATACAAAGCGATATTTATAACCTTTCCCCAAACCTTCTACTAACTTCTTTACCCATTTACCCCACCTTCCCTTCATACTAGGAAAGTGACCCACTACAAGATAACTATCCACACAATACGTGAAGACCCCACTAGACTCCTAATTACAAGCAAACAGCTAACAACAAGCTAACAGACTCCTATCAACAAGCTAACAGATTCCTAATTACAAGCAATCAGCACCCACGCACCTGCATCACTCTGCACGTGATTAGCACATGGTTTTATTGAATGAAAAAAGAAACTAGGAAACTAGGAAATGTAACACTCTCCCCCTCTAAATATCACCCTTGTCCTCAAGGGTATTTTCAGGGAACCGTAACTTCAGCGCCTTCAAGTTTTCCCAGGTGGCTTCCGATGGCGCAAGTCCCTTCCAATGCACCAAGACCTCCTCTTGCCGCCTCTTAACACGATGGTCTAAAATGGCTTGTGGCTGCGCTACCATGTTGTCATCTTCTTCCGATAGAAGCGGCAAATCTCTTTGAACTACCGTTGATGTTCCCACCTTCTTCCTGAGGCAAGACACATGAAATACTGGGTGGATTTTTTAACCCCTAAGTAATTGGAGTTTGTAGGCCACTTGACCTATCCTTTGAATCACTTCAAATGGTCCGTAATACCGCGGCGAGAGATTGAAATTTTTCCGAAGGGCGACAGAAACTTGGCGGTATGGCTGAAGGCGAAGGTAGACTAGATCCCCAACTTGGAAACTCCTCTCAGTCTGGTGTGCATCATATACTTTCTTCATCCGATTCTGGGACAATTGCAACTGTTCGTGTAACTGTTTGATGGATCGATCTCGATCTTGGAGTTCAAGATCAACCGACTCAACTTGTGTGGTTCCAGGGATGTACGATAGCAGCGTGGCGGAGCACGACCGTAAACCACTTCATAAGGAGTTTTCTTGGTGGCGGAATGCACGCTTGTGTTGTAGCAATACTCAGCCCAAGCAATCCAACGGGCCCACTCCTTGGGCCTATCACTCGAAATGCACCTGAGGAACATTTGGACGGCGCGGTTCACCACCTCCGTCTGACCGTCCGTCTAGGGATGATAGGCTGATGAGAAATTTAAGGCTGTGCCCTGCAAGTTAAACAGTTCTTTCCAAAATGCACTGGTAAAAATTGGGTCCCTATCACATACGATGAACTTAGGCATCCCATACAATTTAAAGATGTGGTTAAAAAAAATCTGAGCCACCGAGGTTGCTGTATAAGGATGAGAGATTGGAATGAAATGGGCGGCTTTGGATGGGCGATCTACTACTACGTAAATAGTAGTTTTACCGTTAGAATTGGGCAAACCGTCTATGAAATCCATGGACAAATCTGTCCATACCTGTAGGGGAATGGGAAGTGGTTGGAGAAACCCCGCCGGTGACATATTTTCCCACTTTCGACGCTGACACGTGTCACACTGCTTGATATGTTCCTTGACATTCCTCTTCATTCCGCTCCAAAAAAAACGGATTTAATACGCTGGAGAGTTTTGTGGAACCCCTCATGTGTGCTGGAATGGAAATCTTATACAATTGTTGGGATTAAAGAAGATTCAGCCAGCAAGAAAATCCTATTTTTAAAGAATAGGACTCCTTTGTAGCACCAAGGACCCAAAGCTTCTCCCTGTTGCACGCGGGATACTATTTCCTTCTGGAATTTTCTTTTACTTCGTCCTTGATAGGCTCGAGCCAGTGTGGAACCGAACCAGATATTGCAAAATTTTCGCCCTTCTCTTCCATTCGGGACAGGGCATCAGCCACCACGTTTTCCTTCCCTTGTTTGTATTCAATGGTAAAATCAAAACCCATGAGCTTCATCAACCATCTCTGCTGTGTTGGGGTAGTGATTCTTTGCTCCCATAGGTACTTTAGACTCTAATGGTCGGTCCTTACAATGAAGGGTTGCCCCAGTACATATTGCTACCATTTCTGTACTGCAAGAACGAAAGCCAGCATTTCTTTTTCGTAAGTAGATAAAAACAAGTTTTTACCTTGCAATGCTTGGCTAAAAAATGCTATGGGACGTTTTTCTTGCATCAACACCCCTTCCAACACCAGCCCCAGAAGCATCGCACTTGACGATGAATGTCTTTGAAAATCAAGCAGAGCGAGCACTGCTGCTAGCATCATTACCTTTTTAAGTTGCTCCAAGCCTCGTGGACTGTGGGTCCCATTTGAAACCGTCTTTCTTTAGCACGTTGGTAAATGGAGCAGCAATTTTACTGTAATTTTGTATAAATTTACGGTAGTACCCCGTTAACCTCAGAAATCCACGGAGAGCTTTTAACGTTGTGGGCTTGGGCCAGCTGGTCATGGCCGTGATTTTTTCTGGATCCATTGCCACTCCCTCTTGGCTGATGAGATGTCCTAAATATTTCACCTCCCTCTACCCAAAAGTACTTTTTTTTTTTTATTACAAAGAATTGGTTAGTCCGTAAAATAGATAAGGCTATTTCAATATGCCTCAAGTGGTCTTCCCAGCTTTTGCTGTAAATTAAAATATCGTCAAAAAATACCAATATGAATTTTCGTAGGTAATTTTTGAAAACAGTGTTCATCAAAGATTGAAAGGTGGATGGGGCGTTCATTAATCCAAAAGGCATTACCAGATATTCGTAATGGCCGTGGTGGGTGCGAAAAGCAGTTTTCTCAACATCTTCGAGCTGCATGCGGATTTGGTGGTATCCAGATCGCAGATCAAGCTTGGTGAAGAAAAAGGCTCGTCAAGTAGTTCGTCAATGTTGGGAATGGAAAACTTATCCTTTACCGTCTGCTGATTTAAAGCTCTGTAGTCAACGCACATTTTCCAAGAGCTGTCATTTTTTTTTACTAGCAGCACAGGTGAAGAATAGTGACTGTTACTAGGCTTGATCACTCCAGATCTCAACAACTCGGTCACCATCTTTTCAATTTCGGGTTTCTGATAGTAGGGGTACCATCTTTCAAGGGAATTTGGTGATCATGTGACCTCTTCGGAGGTAGCCCTCGTGGTTCCTTGAAAATATCATCAAACGAATACAACCACCTTCCAGTTGAGTATTAGAAATTTGAGGAGATAATTTTCGTTCAAAGTTACCTAACACGCCCTTCATTGAGATAGAGTATATCTATACTAGTATTCCCTCTTTCTTTTTTTTGATGTCCTTGCCAATTTCATTAAGCTGTACCACCTTATTCTTGGCCGCTTTTAAACCTTGGAGTGAGATTTCCTTTCCATTCAAGGAGAACGTCATTTGCAACTTGGAGAAGTCCCATGTGCTTGGGCCTAGAGTACTCAGCCATTGCGCCCATAGAACAGGGTCGCAACCTACCAAAGGCAGCAGATAAAGGTCCACCATGAATGGAACTCCCTGCAACACCATGCAAACAACTTTGCATTGTCCCGCGCTAGAGAGCTTCTCGCCATTAGCAACAGCCACTTCAAACTTCCCTTTACAACTAGGAGTTAGGCCCATTTTCTGTGCAACAGTATTACTCAAAAAATTATGTGTTACCAAAGTCGATTAGAAAGGTTACCCTCTGTTGGCCCAAACTCCCTTGTACACGCATGTCTGAGGGGTTTTAGCCCCATAAATGGGGTTGATGGAGATTTCAGGCACTTCTTCAGTTGTCTTTGTCCCCATCCCATCGTCGTCTCCTTCGTCTGGCCAATCTCCTTCGATGAGGAATAGCCTCTTGCAACGAAGGCCAAGGCCAAAATTTTTGTTGCAATTGAAGCATAACCCTTTTGCACGTTGCTCGCTGAGTTCTATCGGGGATAGCCTAGGCATGAAAGTTCCACCCGAGTTGGGTTGGTTGAGGACGGGCTTCTTTGGCTCGCTGGGTGTTGCTTTCTTGGTATTTAAGTTGCAGTGCTCATAGAGGCGAACGAGACCAATTGCTGCAGTCAAAGTTGCAGGTAGGCAAGCTTGCACATTCGCTTTAAAGCTATCCTTGAGCCCACTTATGAAGCACCCAACCTGTTGTATCTGCGACAAGCTACCTACGCGAATCAGCAATCGCTCAAATTGAGTTTGATAATCTCGCACCAAACTAGTTTGCTGCAACTTTGTGAGATCACTGAAAAAATCCTGGAATTGGGTTGGACCGTATCGAGCGTGGAGGTTACTTTTGAAAGTATCCCAAGAATCAATACCGCCCTCTTCCTTCATCAGCTGATACCATAGCTGAGCATCTCCTTCTAAGTTGAAAGAGGCAAGAGGAGCTCGATCCTCTTCCGATGTACGATGAAACTCGAAAAATTGGTCGGCTCTACATACCCAGCTGGTAGGATCCTCTTCTCCATTGAACTTGGGGAAGTCAAGCTTGACCATTCGCGGAAGGTAGGTCCCACCAGATCCTACACTGCCATTTCGAAGTGGCCCTATAAACCCCCGCCCTGTATACCCCGGTGGCGGCTGATTGTAGGACGTTTCACCATCTTCACGGTTGTTCTTCGTTTGGTCGAGTCAAACATTGATCGCAGCGAACATCTGCTGCATGGAATCCATCATATCCTTGAAGCCTCATTCCTGATCTGCTTTCAAACTCCCAATCTCGAACTCCATTTGATCAAGGTGTTGATCCACCATGCCTGGCTCTGATACCAAAATGTTAAGTGCTTTGCTAGCTGAACGTGTTTGATGTTGAGGATTGTCCACCACGTACACGTCAAAACCTTGGACAAGATTTCTCAGTTCGCGAGACAACCCTTTGTTCTTACTTTTCCTATTTTGATAAGAGAATACACCAAAGGTAAATAAGAAAGCCAAAGCCGTAGTTTCTTCAAGGGAAACTAAACCTCTAGAACGTGCAAAGCACAAAGATTTTACTTACTACCCTTTTTTAACCCAATACAAAGCAATATTTATAACATTTCCCCAAACCGTCTACTAACTTCTCTACCCATTTACCCCACCTTCCCTTCATACTAGGAAAGTGACCCGTTACAAGATAACTATCCACACTTACGTGAAGACCCCACTAGACTCCTAAGTACAAGCAAACAGCTAACAACAAGCTAACAGACTCCTATCAACAAGCTAACAGATTCCTAATTACAAGCAATCAGCACCCACGCATCTGCATCACTCTGCACTTGATTAGCACATGGTTTTATCGAATGAAAAAAGAAACTCGGAAACCGGGAAACGTAACATGGTGAGATTTGAACTCTAGACATCATGAGTAGCACCCCACCACTGACCACCTCTGCCTAGGGCCCATTCTCTTTATAAAGACTATCAAAGCGTAAGTTTCAAGTAAAGAACACCATCCCCTAATAATAAATATGAGAATTGTCCTTAAAGGAGATGTAAGTGAAAGAAATTCTAATGGATATGAAATTAAAAAGCAGTTTGGTTAGCCACATAATCAAATCTGACCTTGATTCACAAAGCGATAAATTAAAGGAAAATTTATCAAAAGTCCCGTATATTTTATATTTCATACTCAAGTCCCACTTGCTCCTTTCTTTTTATTCCCAAATTACCCCAAGTATCCAATGTCCAAAATTGGTCTTTGAGTGAAAAACTCGTTCAGACGTTGGATGTCCGAAACCAGGGTAAGGGTAATTTGGGAACGAAAAAAAAAAAAAACTGGGACTTGGGCATAACATAATAAAAACAAAGAGGGCTCTTTTAAATATCAAAATTATAATGGAATATTTCTGTAAATTTCCAACAACACAGAGTGAGTGGGGGCCAATATGAAATCTAGTTTATGGTAACATGCACATGTGACAAAAGTGACCTGTTAGCACGCAACAAAACTGGTATTGATGAGTGTTGGAATGGGACAAATTAGTTACAATGTAGACCACCTTACGGGGCTTGACTGGAACATTCAATGAAATGTCTGATTCCACAATAAGGTTTTGCATTAAAGTTCCACTCCAAGCACCTGCTGCAATTACAATAGCCTTTCTGCTGTACAGTACATTCTTGGAAGTTTTTACAGCTTCAACATCACCAGTTTCTGGAGACCTGAATGGCATGAAATAAGAGAAGTCAAATTCATTTGCAAACAGGAAATATGAAAACTAAGGTTAAATTGCCAAACATAACCCACAATTAATGTCACTATAGGAACAACACCCAGTGATAAGCATACCTTAATAAACGAACAGCAGGTTCATAATAGAACTCTCGATATCTATCATGTTGACAGAAAGATTTGTTCCCCTAAACATTAATTTTGTAGCAGTCAGGCTTCAAACAGATTATTTTTTTAATCACCAAGTTAAATCTTTAAACAGATTTAGAAAAGAACTACTCAATTTTCTAGATATATAATCAAGAACATCATTAATAAAAAAAGTAAACAAAAAGGACATCGTAACTAGCATTACACAAAGGAAATCCAGAAACAATCGGGGAACAAAACCAACTGCTTGACTTCCAAAGAACCATGACAAACCCCACCAAATTGAACCAACCACAGCTCCGTTAATAATTAGAGGACATATTGCATTTCTATGCTTCGCATTATCCAATTCCCCTTAAAATAAACCCTGCAACTAACTTCCCTTTAAGCACACCATCAGCTGCCGCACCTACTCTCTAAATGTTATTGAAGCCAATATAATAATTCTGCGTCTGGACGGTAGCTCATGTGACATTTGATGGTCCCATCCCTGCAAAATCTCCCCTGAACTCAGTCCGATTTACATATCTAACATTTAATCCACACATATTGATACTTATTGATTTATGTTCTTTAGGATTTAAGAGAAGCCGTTAGTGTGGATTCCATACTGTTTATTGGTTTAGTAACTCTATAGGACAGATGATTGCTTGCAAAGTAAAATATGTTACCAGCAATGCAGGTAAAGCAACAAAAGCTAGTTCACAGCTCTTCTTTACTTTACAAGGTCTCTCTACTCTCATATATGTTACTTGGATACAATATTGTTTGGTAAAAATTTGACTTTTGTTCGTTAGAATTTTCAAGACTTTTGTTCCTTAGAATTTTCAATTTTCAGATAAATTAAAAATCTTAACTAGTACCTTTTCTATGAATTCAACGGTTCGTTGCGCATCCAATTGGCAATCATCTAGCACAAAGGCAGCCCCACCTTCACTCCCAACGTCAAGGCTGGGTTCCTTCTTCAGCAAATCAGAAGCAGGCAAGTATTGAACCTTTAACCCAGCTTCGGATAACAATCGAACCCTCTCTTGCAACGATGTTGACTCTCCCAGACTTCTACCAACTAACAAGCTCCCTAGAGACAATAATTTCATAATCCAAATTAATGATTGATTGCTTTCAGAGTTTTTAAGAGTTTGTTAACACATATTAATGCCTGATACAGCAATACTCATGTTTCTAGATCATTGTAATCCATTACATATGTTCAATATAAAAAAAACATAATTGCCCTCAAAAATTTTAAAAGTTTGATGACAGATATTGATGATCAATACAGATCATTGTCATCCATTGCATATGCTCAATGAGCTTATCTCTTATCATACAAAACACCATTAGCAGCAATATCAGATACCTTGTACACAATTGGAAATAGATGCAAGGAAATCAATGAACAATCTAAATAGGTTGTCGACACTTGAAAAAAAAAAAAAAGTTTAATAAGTATGGGAGCACAAGAATGTCACATAAATAACAACAACAACATCGATGACAACAATGACGATGACAACAACAACAATGATAACGACCACAACAACAAAGATGACAACCACAAAAACAACTAGGACAATGAAACAACAACAACAACAACAACAACAATAGAACTTTCCATCATATCACAATCCCAAGAAATAATTCCTTGCAATGAAGACAATTGTACCTCTTTTCATCCAACCCAACATGTCTAAAGGGTCCATATTTTGTTCTTGAATTTCCTCTGCCAACTCTTCCCAAAGTTGTTTGCTTCTATTTGCAAGCTCCCATGCTGCAGTCCCTGGCCTTTTGTGAACCATCCATATATAACCCTGCCCTTTACTTGACAATAACAAAAGCCAAAAACGAAAAAGAGAAAAAAGCAAAAACTCTACAATTTCAACTACTGAAATGCTAACTGATAAGCATAAAATATGTTTAAATCATAAATAGAATTGCAGAAAACCTCTTACAATCAACACACACAAAAAAATAAATATTTTTATCTATAAAAACAACTATGCACAAGTGAATAATATACACACAAAATATTGAGAGAAGAATCAAAACATTGAAGATCAAATCCTTCAAAGGTACCATCATTTTTTTATGCAGTAAAAAATTAGCCAAAAATTTGAACAGAAATTCCCGAAATTCATGTAAGTTTCACCAAAATTGAGTCATTTCACATCTACAATTTAACTAGAAGCTAGACTTCTTAGTTCATATTTCTTTACCAATGGCTGGAACGGAAGAAAAAAAAAAAAAATCAGTCCAAGAATCTGGCTGACCCCAAAGCCTAAAAATGAATTAAAGAAAAAATGCACATACTATAGTATTTCCAAGCCATCAACATGATCCAATCGCCCATCATCCTTAAAATTTTCAAAGGTACACAAATCTTTTCAAAGGTGCACAAATCAAAATGAAAGATATGTATGTGTGTGTAGCGAGAGAGATATTTCTAGCCCACCAGCTCCTGTTGCTCCTGAACATGGAACCCCTGCATCTACAACTGCAACGGAGAGCTTGGACTGGAGCAAGAACTGCCTAACTATGGTCAAGCCTATGATTCCAGCTCCAACTACAACCACATCAAACGTCAATCTCTCCCCTGAAACCGTAGCTGAACATAGGGATACAGGGTAAAACCTCGGTTTTTGGGGCCTTAAAGACGAGAAAAATAGGGTTTCACAAATGCTAGAGGTCTTCAAAGATGGATAGATCACAGTTGAAGGAGAACTGAAACGGTGAGAAAATTTAGTGTTTCCAGAGCGCAAATAAGCAGAAATTTTAGGATTTTTCAGAGGCGTGGCCGCCATTGAAGCTGCAGAGAAATGAAAATTGCGGAAATTTTATTTTTTTCCCGCCGTATGTGAAAAAAGGAAAAATTATTTGTCTAAGCAACTTAGCCACTTCAATCTCTTCTCTCACTTTTTTTCCCAAATCAAACCCTCAACTATGAAGTTGTTATTTTTTGAACGGAAATGTCATGTACAAACCAAATCATTAGGTGATCCCAAGTAGCGTACTGCTGCAGTGCATCTTTTCAATGCCGGAACACGTCTTTACACCACCGAAGCGCGTCTTTGCACTGTCGGAGCACGTCTTTGTATTGTCCGAGCACTATGGCCCAGAACTGCATTGCCGCAGCACAGAATGTCGGAGCGCTTGTTTATATTGCTGGAACTCGGTCCTCCATTGTCGGAACGCTTGTTTATATTGTTGGAGCTCGATCCTCCATTGTCGGAGCGTTGTGGCTCCAGAGACTTCATTGCTGGAGCGGAATGCCGGAGTAAGTATTTGCACTATTGGAGCGAGTTCTCATGATACAGAATGAGACCATTTATGCTTTTGTTACAATCTAGATTAATGGATGTGAAATTGGGTGGCTCTAATTATTCTATTGATGATCTAGATGATATGTATCTTTCAAAAAAAAAAGATATAGTCTTTTTAGTGTTTAATTTCTTTCAAATACATAATTGGTGAGGCTGACAATAGTATTTTCAGTGTTTAGTTTTTTCCAATTACATAATTGAGGACGTTTATATGATCAATTTGACGGTTTTCTAATATCGAAATTTTAATACAACTGTCTTTTTTATCTAGCGACACCTCGATGTTGTGCGAACCTTCCTCACTGTAAAATGCTTGGAGAGTCTCATTTTTCTTTTTCTTTTTTTAAATTTTGGTTATATATTTAAATTATTTAATTTTCAAATATCATTTGTTTTTAGATATAACATGACTCGTACTTTAAAAACCAATAATCGCTTGTCAATATTTCTTATTAAAATCTTCATATACAAATGCTTAATATCATATAAAATCTCACCTTTTCTTCTCTATGAAAGGTGAAGTCACCAATGTCGTTTGAAATTGTTTACTTAAGCCCAAAGATGTTTACTTAAGCCCAAAGATCTTATGGTCCCATAGGAGCATGTGTTGTATGCATGTTAAGCCCAAATATCTTAAGGTCCCATAGGAGCATGTGTTGTATGCATGTTAAGCCCAAATATCTCAAGGTCCCATAGGAGCATGTGGTGTATGCATGTGTTGTATACTTAAAAGTATAGTCTTTGCTAAAGTGATATATTACAATAGAATTCTTGTAGTCAATCTCAAATAATTTGGTCTCATAGGAGCATGTGTTGTAGCTGTATACTTAAGGTATAATCTTTGATAGAGTGATATATCACAATAGAATTCTTGTAGTCAGCCTCAAATAGTTGGGATAAAACTCAGATGATAATGATAATTAGTGATAATTACCTCAACGTTAATAACCATGAAATTTAAGTACATACCAAAAAATAAGTTTCAGCAATAAAAAAATAACCTAACATCGACAATGAGGAATAAATTTTTGAATTTTTTGAATATTCATTTTACCCTCCGTTTAAAGGCCAAGTTTTGAACAACCTAGAATGCAAAACATTGTGTTCATGCAGTTCGACCGTCCAACTTTAAAACTTTATGACCCACACCAAGCCATCGTATTTCCAACTTTCAAACTTTATGACCCGCACCAAGCAACCCTATTTCATATCCAACTTTCAAACTTTATGACCCACAGCAAGCCATCGTATTTCCAACTTTCAAACTTTATGACCCGCACCAAGCAACCCTATTTCATATCCAATGACTAGCGATAATTGTGATAAATGATCTTATGGTGTACAATCTTTGTTTTTAGAGTAATATTGAAAGTAGATCTTTCAAAGTACCCAAACTCTTCATTTTCCTATATTTTGAATAGTTCAAAAAGTTGAACTTCCAAATTCCATGGAATATAAAAAAAAAAAGTCCAAAATTTTGGACCTTAAACTTAATCTCCTGCCTACATAAATTTCCCCAACATAAAAAAAAATAGCAGTCATTTCATGGACTCTCTCTCTTTCTCCATACATACATACATACACACATATGGACACTCTCACTCTCTCTCCCTATATAGAGACATACATACACACATTTGTACGTATGGAAAACACTTAAAAAATACCTATAAATAAAATTCTACAATACTTCACTCTTACCAACATCCAAAGCCCAAACAGTAACGATTGTAATGTTTGAATTTTAATAATTTTTTTATAAATCTAAATAACCTCAAAGTTCGTGGGTATGCACACCTTTGTGAGGGACACCTTACAAACATAAAACAACCAAATTACCGAATATTTCAAAGATATTTTCTTCGTTTTATTTTTTATAATTATTTTTTAATATTTTACTTATATTCAATATTATTAGATAAACAAACACCCTAAATTTGAGAAAAATCAGATTTGTAAAAAAAAAAAACCTTATAATATATAAGGTACCCTATAAATTTTTGAGGTGAGCTTTTTCCATATATGAACTTTTTCTGTACATATGGATATGCCACCTGAGGGAATGGGAATGACTACACTGACTACCAAGCATTCATCAAAACATATACCCCCAGTTATACCCAAACTACTAATCAAACAAGTAAAATCTCTTTCCCTGTGCACCATAAGACTGTTGGACCTTCAACAACACACATACAAGAAGCAGCCAAGAAATGGAATGCTGCTAATATTTCATAAAGCTCAGTCTAAGTTAACGTCTCTCCTGTAACCAATAACAAAACCAAAGCGTCACACATATTTACAAGAAAAAGCAGCTATGTAGCTGTTCTTTAAAGCACACAAGCAAGGCCCACATACATTGCGAGAGAGAGAGAGAGAGAGGCTTGGCCCATGGGTTTTGTTCATACAATTGGATCGCGAGCTTTCTGAAGCCATCCGTGTATCATCGCATTGAGAGAGTGGGACATGGGGGGTATGGAGCGCTGTATAATCATCGACGGTTGTGGCACATATGGCATGTAGTAGCCGAGTTGAGATTGGCAAAGGTGCAGTGTTGGCAAGACCAGTGGTTAGTGTCGTCGAGACCTTTGGTTTGGCTTGGGAAGGGCCTTTGGCTCGTAATCTTGCCCCTTCCCCCTCTACTTTTGCTGCCACCACCACCACCGAGGTTCTTCGAGCTACTCGTCCGGCTACACGCTCCATGGGTGTCGACATCAGATAGTCCATTCTCAAGGGCACGAACCAGGTTCTCGAAGTAATTTCGGGTTACACTGCATCATGGTTTGATCGATTAACGATTATTGGGGCCCAACATGTCAAAAAAAGAAGAGATACAATAGAAGACTTTTCACTTTTGGTACAAGAAGATTACAATCACCCCTAACCATCAGGTATGAGATCAGGCGGCTAAAGATGTGCCAATAATCACACTCAAAAGTCCAAGAAAATTTTTCTCGGACTGGAACACCCCCAATCGCCTGATTTCACATCAAATGACTAGTGGTTATTGTGATGTACAAAGATAAACAATCTTATATTATAAAAAGGATTGTCTACAAAGAGACCATTTATCTTTTGTACATGGTAGTCCATAATCATTCCTACTCATTAGTTGTCAAATTGGATGGTTTTGGGTGAGTCACAAAATCCAAGAATTTTTCTTTTGGAACTTTGTGTCTATTCAATAACACTCTTACAACTACCCATTTTGAAATTTAAAGAACAAGAATGATTGTGACCTCCATATACAAAAGATAAAAGGAAAAAGTTTATATAAGGTCACAACCTTAAAATGGAGAATTAAAGATGCACCTCAAAAATCCAACGGAAAAGGTTGTTTTAATATTGTAAAATCCTCTAATTGATCATCTCAACATCGAGATATATGAATACGAAAAAATAAAAAGATTTTGGGTCCCACAAATAGTGCATCTTGCAACACATCATGTAGACCGTCCATTTTCCAGATTTTCATATGTTTATAGAACTACTTGATTTTATCTATTTTTGGAGTTTAAAATTTTATAATTAGATATAAAAATGAATTTTAAGTCAAACCTAAGAATTTTTTTCACCAAAATTACAAGTTATGATAAGATTTAGAGGTGCACCTTAATTGGATTGTTTAAGGTTGCAACTTTATAGAAACCACACCCAAAGATAAATGGTTTCTTTGTAGACAATCCTATTATAAAATCCCAAAAGAAAAACAAGCACACACATGAATACAAACATGTAGACAAACCCATTATCAAATCCCAAAAGAAAAACAAGCACACACATGAATACAAACATACGTGTGTATGCATACAAGTAAAGGGACTTTGACCCAATGGACTCAATAAACTATGTTGTCATTCATGCAGTGTGACATTTGGTCCATTGGTACGAATACATTTTAATTCATTCATCACAGACCACCGGGCAGATGTATGGAAAGGAAGACTGGAAACCACCACTAGGATCACATCTTGTTATGGCAGCTACCACTCTTAACCATTTCTGTCCATCATTTCAATGGAACCTGCTGACCTGATGACTAATGGTTTCTCAGATAGTTAGGTTGTAGTATACTTTCATCATAAATACGTTTAAGGGATAAGTGAGGATTCCACACAACGGTGTGCAGCACAAATAGTACAGCACATGGACATGCACTGCAGGCTAACCATGACAGACGGTAGAGATCAACAGTTGTTACTGATGATAGACATTCAGATCGGTATGGATCTGAACCACCCGCCCCCAGATAAGGGGGGCGGATGCCCACTGATGTACCACATACCCATAATACACCAGCGGAATATGATATTCTTTCCCCGAAGCTAGAAAAAAAAAACCACCACTGTTCCCAAAGCACCAAGATAAAAATCTTGAAGCCATAATATAAGTCCTCATCCAAGAAATCTCAGACAGGAGTTATACACACTAAACTACATAGATCAAAAAAATAAAAACTTTCATGATATTAGAATAAATTCAGTGGAGAAGTACCTGGTCAGCCCTGCTAGCTTTGTACGAAACTCATTGAAATCCTTGGAAGGGCCCACTGCCTCTAGGTAAACGTGCAACTCCTTTTCTGCACATTGGTGAAGCCTTTCTAAACCAGACTCAGCCTCACCTGAGGAACACAAAAGCACATATAAGCACATGTTTATGCATGTATATCACAAAGCAGGCGTAAACGAACAAATATAATAATTCTCCTGACAGTGACCAAAAAAAAAAATGTATCGCAGTTCTGAAATGAGGGAGAGAACCTTGCAGATACTCAAAAAATTGACGCTTGGCATGCTCCTGCTCAGGGAGGTAATACCCATAGGCATATGTCCATTTTAGTACTCGCCTACACTCAACTATCTGCAAAAATCAGTCAACGAACTATGTTAGTGGAAGCCATGGGAAAGAGGAGAACACAAGTACTTTTAAATGACGAGATTGAAGTACCTGTAACCAGGCCTCCGTGATGAACTTGAGTTGAGATCCGGGTTGACATTGCTTGTCGCTCAACTTCTCAAGCTAAACATATAATAACAGAAAGGGTATACTTACCAAGAAAGAAAAAAATTATCCAAGTTTCACAGGGCATGATTACTTTTTCATAAGCCATGTTTGTCAAACTAATCTGGGAATATTACGAAAATTGTTCCTTATAATTCTCTCATTGACAAGACATTATGATGGATGCAACTTACCTGCACAGCTTGCATCTGTTGAAGATCCGAGAGTGCCTTAGCCCTTGACTGCAAACACAAGAAATAAGTTGAGATAAACAGTTCTAATTCATATTTGCAAGAAGCTACTTGATGCATGCTTTCAGTTATACATTCATACAAATTGGGAAGAGATGCGTCAGTAGATTTTTATTTTTTGTTAGTTCCAGGGCATGAAAGACAATAGCCTTAAAGAAGTAAATAATCACTACAGTTCAAAAACCATGAAATCACTACAACATGCTACGGATATCAGCAACTCCATAGGAATTTGGAGCCACTTGCATTAGAATTGGAGTAAATTATCACATAATGAAAATGTGTTGTTAGTAGTAAGTGAGAAAGAACTTAAGATCAACAATACCATTATACTGACAAAGAACTTAAGATCAACGATACCATTACATTGAGATTACAAATTGTTGATCTTAAGTTCTTTCTCACTTGTCATAGAAACTTACTACTAACAACACATTTTCTTTACGTGATAATTAACTCCAATTCTAATGCAAGTGGCTCCAAATTCCTATGGAGTTTCTGATATCCATAGCATGTTGTAGTGATTTCATGGTTTTTGCACTGCAGTGGTTATTTACTTCTTTAAGGCTATTGTCTTTCATGGCCTGGAACTTACAAAAATAAAAAATAAAAATCTACTGACACGTCACTGCCCTAGGCGAGCTAGCTTCGAAGAGAACAGAGTGCGCACGAGCCGCAAAGAAAACTATGTGCGCTAGCTTTGCGAAGAAAATGAAGTGCGTGCTAGCAGTGAAGAAAACTATGTGCAAGCTAGTGCACGTAAGCTTTCAAGCCAGCAAAGACACATAGGCTTTTGAGCTGTAGTTTGCTGGGTGCACTAGTTGCGAATAAAACGACATGCGTGCTAGCTGCGATGAAAACTATGTGCACACTAGCGCACCTAGGCTTTTGGCCAGCAAATACACTACGGCTATGTATATAAATTTTCTGCTCATAATTTAATAATTTGTTTGTACTGTAAAGTTAATGCAAACACACTACATACAATAGCTGCAACAACAAAGAAACAAAATGAGGGAGGTGATTGTACATACCGACTGGTTGGTTGCCCAACGCTCATAGTAATGCGTGTACCTCTCCAAAGAATTTTTAGCCATCTCTCTTCTTTTCTCAGTTTCATCATACTGAAAGGGATCAAAAGTGGAGCTAAAAAAGAATTTCACAATAACTATAAAAAAGTCAAAAAGTTAGATCCTATCAGTTGCACAGGAAATATAGAAACAATTCACATACCACTCCCTCCTGTTTTGCTGTCTCATAACGATTGCAAGCATAGAAACCACCTGTACGTTCGCCATGATCGGACCATGAACCAAGGCACAGCCTGTAAACATTAAAAAAGACCCATGAACCAACGCACAGCCTGTAAACATTAAAAAAGACCATATGCTATGAAAAAAGCAGAAATAGACAAAATAACCACGCACAAAATTTTCAAGGGATAGGCAGTTGTATATAATATCTGAGAAAAACATAAAGCACATAACCATACAGATAGGAAATTTTACCAGCAAAACTCAAATTTGCAAGGAGGAGTGCAGGTAATATGCATACAACCCTGGTTTTTCTCAATTGGCCGCTTGCACTTTGGACAAGGCTTAGAATTGGCTAATATCCTGAGCAATATATCATCACCAACGTTACTTCATTTCAAATAACACAACACGAGAGTTAAGAAAATGATAAAATTCAAAACCCAGAGTCCCACACAACAATAACAAAAATACAGAAGTCAGTTTCACAACACATTCGCAGTGCACCCATCAATCAAAATTTATAAAAGGAAGCTATTCAAAGTTTAGTGTGGAAAATAGATCTTCCTTCACATTATATTAGTAAAAAATTGCAGCCTACATGATGGCAGCACCGAAATGGTAATAACTAGATTACTATTTGAATAGTTCAGATCCTGTACATCCCCAGAAAAAGTGCACATGAAGCATTAATAGGGAAAAAAGCATAGGAATCAGACTTTGGTTTGATGAGTAAGCTGTTGATGATTGCAATACTACGTCCTAAGTTCAATTCCCACCGCTAACTACCCCCAAAAAACAAAAGCAAAAAAAGACTATTAAATGTAAGATGATATATATGGTCACAGTGTTTATTGTGCCCCACTAACATTTCAGATAAAAAAATGGAACACTAAAAAGAATTAATTAAGTGAAGAAAAAAAAAAAGTTCATCTTCATTCATGAAGATGAACTTGTAAATTCCAATGGAGCATCCATCGTAGGGATTACAGAGGAGATACTGTTGAGGACGAGCTGGAGCAAAAAGAAGAGTAATATTGGCTTAGTTCAATATTTTTATTGTTTAAATTTCTAATTTTATATTTGAAAAGTAAACAAATCAAGCGATCTGTTGTAACCAACTTACAAATTATTTTTCTCAACCAGGATAATTAGGAGGACAACTATGAGGGACGTGCCAAAAGACATTTTGGATGGCTCAGGATCATGTGTTGGATCCTAGACCTGGGTATAGGGGATATCATTTTTTATTTTTGTTAAAAATGTTAAAATTGGTAATGAGTGAGAAGAGTGTATACAAGGGATGTCTAGGGGATATCATTTTTTATTTTTGTTAAAAATGTTAAAATTGGTATTGCTGTGAAGAGTGTACACAAGGGATAGGGATATAATTTTACGAATCTGGTAACCATTTGACACTTTGATATCTGTAACCATATTAATCCATACAAGATTTGAAACCATCAATATTGTATTTATCAGAATTAAGAAATCAATAAAATTTAGTTTTGAATTTTAATTTGCTAGCAATCCTTAAGACTTGTTTCTAAATGTTAATGCTTATTCATATGATACCAGAGTTAGATTTGCAAAAATCTAAGAAAGACGAGAAAGTTACGGATATCATAAGAAAAAAGACAATAAGTATTCATGCAAAACAAAAATATTTATCAATATTACTAGTTTCTCAATTTTCGGATTTATGGATTCTTTATTTTCAAATAATTTTCTTATTTTTTTTACGTCTCTAATTTAACACATCATCCAGTCTGATCAGACTATCAGATTGGATTAGACCAGCCACGACACTAGTTCAGTGGCCGGTATACTAGCCAAAGTTGACATTGATATCAATTTGCTAACAAGAATGCATATCCCGAGTATGGTAGAATGTAACTAACAAAACATTATAATTAAAATGGAGCATTAAATGCAATGAAAAAAGGTGCTTCTACAAACATACACACCTCACTATCCCATGCACGTGCACAGCCAGAGGCATGCATGCAGCATGCATTATAACCACAAGCATCATATGTCAGTCACAGTCAAAATTAATGTAAAACTGCACAATACATAAAATGGTACCTTAATATACCCAAATGTTTATTCATACCAGTTCATGTTTTCAGACTCAGCACTATTCTTCAAGATCCACTTGGCAACTGTTTCACAGTCAACTGGACGATGAGCTTCCTCAGTACACTGTACATGCCCACTTCTACAAGTGTCAGAATGCTCTTAAGATTCAATTTACAGTAAATAAGGGTAAGACAAAGTAAGATTGGCAAAATTAATGCTACAGAAGTACCCACATTCCAGCAGAAATTATATGAGCAGTTGCAAGAAACATCATAGCTCGCGCTACCAACAACAAAGTCCACTGCATATTCGCATCCGGGAGCTGGACACCATTTTGTCTAGAAAAATGGAGGAACACATGAACATAATGTAACCGACAATCATTGAAAAACAAAGCATGTTTCATTACTATCAATGTGAAATCCAGGAAAATAGACAATAAGAAGGAAAATTACATTTTAAAACATTTTATTTTTATCGAAGTATACTTTGACCATGAAACTACCTAGTCTACCCAGACAAGAAGGAACTGTGAAAAGAACAGGCTAGGATACCTATGTAACTCCTTTCAAATGAACAACAAATTCATGACCGCAATAAAATCAAAACTTATGCAAAAACAAGACATTAGAAAACAAGCAGACTTGAAGCCCATCCATGTTTACACCCATAGTTTCTAGAGAATATCCATCAAACATTCCTTCCTATTTAGTAATCAGAAAGAAGAAAGGACAAAAAGGCCTCCCCATCAGCACATTTGACACTTGTCAAACGATAAAGAAGCTATAGTTTCTATAAAGCAGCAAAAAATCCCATCAAATCCCCAAGGCCTAACTTATGCTTTTCTACCTTGTGAGATAGATAGGCATCCTATAGTGCCAGTGCACCTGTCCAGATCGAGTCTTGGGATCCAAGTGGTGGGTGCATGTATTAGTATAAAAGAATGGTCAATATTTATCCAGGTACCTTTGGAATTAAATGCCACCTTCCATGTGCTGAAATGAAAAGGCCAACTCCACGTGATCACAGAATGGACACAACTCGAAAAAGGGTCACTGCTGGGGGAGCGATCAGAGTTGGAGAAGGTTACAGATTCAGTAAAGTTACATGGTGAACACAAATGTGGGTAGCCCAATTCAAGTCCACGCACCTCGAATGAATATTTTGCCTAAAGCGGAAGCCAAAACACAAGGAAAACTTGGGGGCATGTTTTGGGTAGTGCTGCTACTACCCCTCAAGTTGGGAAGGAAGGTAGGGATGATGGAATGTGAGATTGCAGACTCTAAAACCGTGGTCCAGTAACTTAACCAGTGCATTCTCAATGACCCTTTAGCTATTCATCAGTAAAAGCTAAGAGTCCCGCCACCCAGCTCCCTGCTCCCAAACACCTTAAAACCAATGAATTCTCCAAACTCCGTTGATTAACCCCTTCCATAAATGTTCTCTTTTGTATTTTTTAAACACTAAATGGATAATCACTCATTATTTTAAAAAAAGAATCAAGCTGTAAACCAAGTCAAGCATGAATTGACTGCCAGAGATGAGAAAGGGAAGGAAAGCTGCATTTGAATACCAAGAGCCAAACTATGAAAATTTTCTATAGAAACTAGGGACACTTTCCGTTCTCTACAGACAAATCTCATAAGATCATTTCCAAAGGCTACTGATTTCTTGATGGCTACACCTTGACTGAGATGGGATTCACTAGTCAATTATTGCCATCTTATTGGAGGCATCAGAGTATCCCAGAATGGGTATCTGTGATGTCACCATTCACAGTAATCACTAGGAATCCACTGCCTCCATCCCTCTATAAAACACACACATGTCATATAGCTACTAGAATCCAGGGTTCAAAGACGCGCACGAGCCCGAGTTACTTGGTCATCAAAGCCTGCCAAAGCCAGAACAATATACATTGCATACATGTACATTATTCGGGTGAGTATTAAACAGATTTGCCCAGGTACTACAAAACTCAGTATGACTCCCCTGAGTTTCACAGCATTATCAGGATGACTCACCCTTACACTAAAGTACTCGTCCAAGTGCTGCACAAAACAAGTATAAAAGAGGGGGCTGCAATCCACCCCCTATACACCATTTACACAAATTTGAGGCCCAGAGGTGTGCAATTTGAACCGAATTGAATCTATAACCTAACCTTCACCTGATCTATGCAGTACATGCATAGCAACTGAGGAAAAAAATCAGACTTGATAGATTTAAGAGATTGAAAAAAAACAAAAAGGGTAATTCAGTGGCGAAGAAAGGCCCCCCGTTTTTTCAAGTAGATTAGGAGTTAGCTTTTTGAAGTATTAGTAGGGTGGTGTTAGTGGTGGGAATGGAAACCACAACGTGGTGACTAGGGTATGGGGTACTACCACCACAACCCAATCCCCTTCCCGAGGAGATTGAAAATTTTGATTTTCAAAATTTGCATTTCTTCCCAGTCAATAATCAACCTTTGATGTAATTTGATACTTAGTCCCAGTGTTTTAAAAATCGGCGAGTCGAGCCGGACTCGCCCGGTTCGACTCTAGAAACGGCACAACCCGTGTCGGTTCCGATACAAAACCGGGAACCGCCCGGTTCTAGAGAAGAACCGCCGGTTCCAATCCGGTTCTGTCCGATTCTACCCGGTTCCCTCCCTGCGCGCGTGCGACACATGTGAGGTTACCCCAGTATTTCTACACAAACATTTTAATGTATATTACATAGGTATTTATATACCAAAGTGGAATACCTATCTTTCGATGTGGGATAATTCCCTAACATCATTAAATGAAAAGAGAATTTAAATATATTCTATTAATCATCAAGTTATAACCACATATGCTGAGGTGGCGTGGTGGTTAAGACCTTTGCTTCTCCTTGTGATGTCTCAAGGTCGAGTCCCCCCGTGGGCGTTATTTTTTTGTGTTGTATATATTGTATAAATATTTTTGTAAATAATATAAAAAGCATAAACAAATGAAAAATAAAAAAGTTATTTTTTTGTATAGCAGCTAATTTTTGTTGTATATAGTGGTATAATTATTTTTTTAAATAATATAAAAGGCATAAAAAAATAAAACATAAAAATTTTATTCTATTTGAAATCTCCATCTTTCTACTAACAATCACTTTCACTAAATTTATTATAGAAACCTAAAAAAATAAATTTTTGAAAAATTGAAGTGTTATTTCCAAAATTTGTACGCATTTTATTAACTTTTACAATAACCAAATCTTTTATTTTATTTATTTATTTTTACATTATAAATCATGAAATGTACTATTTTTCTTACAATTGTCAATAATACATTTTAAATTAGATAATATTATAAAATATGTTTAATTTGTTCTTATTTGTCTAATAAAATAATTATAAAATGTAAACTAATAATTATAATTTCAGTATATAATATTATAATTAGTTAGGTTTTAATAATTTTGGATTATAATTAGTTAGGCTGTAATAATTTAGATTTTTTTAGCGGATTAGGGTTTTTTGCCAAAACGAGATTTTAATGGTCATTCTTTCATTGATTAGTCTACTCTTTATAATAGTCCATGTATAATTATATATTTTATCTATGATAATTCTATGATTTTTCTTTTATGTGATGCAAATTTAATGGTTAACATAAGTTTATACAGGGAAAGAGCATCTCAATATTCACAAATTAATGAAAAAAATGAAAGTTAATAATGTAGTACCTTCATTTCTTATTGGATTCCTAAAAAACAATATTTATAATGAATTTTAATAATTTTTTCGGATTTTTTTGAAACTTTAATCCGACCGATTCAGCCTATTCCCGATCCGGATCGCCGATTCGCCGATCCATATCGGTTTTTGAGATGCACGATCCGGGTCACCGATCCACTTTAAACCATTGCTTAGTCGTATTTTAGTGTTCTTGACTCAACCACAGGCTTGATTTTCACAAAAAGACTCAAGAAAATTAGGATTTGACGAATTTGAAATCCGTTTTTACCATTCATCTAAATTTTCAAGAGCTCAGATCTCCTAAAGCCAGCTCGAAACCCAAAAGTGGTTTGGGGGTTTTGATTGGTGTTTTCTAAGGAAGCATTGATGCCGATTGGAGATTCGCTAGCTCATATAATATATGCTGTAGAACAAAAAGTTAAAGTGGTTGATTTGGTAGCCCATTCATTCATCTATCCAAACGTCAGAGGTATGAACCTCATGGGACAGTTGTTCTCTATTTTTTACGCAAATATTAAACACTCTCTCTCTCTCTCTCTCTCTCTCCTTCCTTCTTCGTCGTCGTCTCTACTACGTACGTAACTTAGTAGTGGTAGTACGTAGTAGGTGGGTCGTACGTACCTACCCGTACCGTACTACTACTTACTTA